GTTCCATTTAGAGAATTTATTTACAAATGACTTAGAAACCACAAACAGTGATTATGCACGTAGCATTACAATACAATCCAATGTGTATATAAAAAGAGACAAAATGACATTCCATGATTGATTTGTCAACAGACTGTCGTCAACTGCATTTCTATTGAAAATGTTGGTTTCTCGTTCCTTTTATCCCAGTGGAATGTTTGCACTGCGCCTAATCAACGTAAAGCCAGTGCTCTAAACAAATATTTGAGAAACGTTATCAATTTACTTTGGCACCTGATCGATTTGTTTTGACTGTAATCTGCACGTTTTTCCTCTCTTTTTTTCAGTCGAATTGACGGTTCAAATCCGAAAATAGCAGCTTAGCTGCTATCGGTAGACACATCGAAATTGACGATGATGAATCTAATTAAATTCTCTCAACCGAAATCTAATTTCACATCACAGATGCATAGTATGTGCTTTCACACGCCAAATTTGTTTACTTTCTTCATTTGATGATTTTATTAGAACGTATATTGTACAATTACACAAATCTCACATTTTATGGCTGCGATAATGGTTCTATCGACATGCACTAAATGAGTAAACATTTCCTTTTTTCTAGAGTGCTTGAAGTGATTGTATCATAAATTTTGACAGCAATTTATTAAGCTTTCTCTATTTATGATTTTTTTCCCAATTTGCAAAACACTAAATTACGCTACAAAAAAGGTCTTGAAAGCAGAGAATTCGAGCCCATAGTATGGAGTCCATACATCATTTCATGCCGGGCTAAGATGTGGTGGAACTGAAGTTGCGAAATATTTATGATTATTATTTTATATTCGTACGTATTTCGCCCGAATAACTAACGAATGTATTCTCTACGCTCTATTTTCCACAGCACCATATTTGATTAATAGTTTGTGTCAGACGAGGCGCAATGAAATATAAGCTTTTACACAGAGAAATCGATCGAACGCAAATTAGAGGACGAAAAACAAAATAAACAGCGCAATTTTTAATCTAGAAGTCGATGCACATACACAGATCGTGCTTTGTTTATCCAAATAAAAAAGTGAGATGCAACCAAATCCCCGTCAACTGAAACAGGCACGTTGAATTGACGCAAAAATGTAAAAGTATCTATCGTGGAACGAACAAAATAAATGGTAGCGATGATGAACGATAGTCATTTGTACATAGCACCACATGATACAACATACACTGCCACATGATACGCGCTCGTAAACAACAACCACAACACCACCGATGTGCCACATTTTTTTCATTTTCAGGCAAAAGAGACACGTCATTCACCATTTTTGAAGCACGCAATTTTTCTGGGCTTTGTTTTGCTGAATGTATTTGATTGCTTCCGTCCATTCGCTGTGATTTGTATAGGAATCGTTAGTCAACGGCTAATGAGAAAAAAAACACTCATGGCATTGCAATTTTACATATATTTTTTTATTCGTCTGCATACATTCCAATCGACTATATTTTTTCGTGATCAGTGATGCTCACAATGGGCTAGAAAATGAATGTCGGCAATGGCAGAAGATGATGACGAAAAGTCCTTCATCCGATTGCGATACAATTTGTTTGCAAAGTGACAAACCTGTGCAAATAGTGGGTAACCAAAAGCCAGCTCGAATTATAACGGCAAACTATTCATACGACATCGATGTTGACCTTAATTTGGTGTTTTTATCTGATTTAATGGTGCAAACCTTGAACAGTGATCTCTCTTGTATGTGAGAACTTTGAAAAATCAACAAATGTCAATTGTTTCGATGTTGATTTCCTTGAAATACTGTGAAATCGATCACTGTGAGAATATTTGTGAAATTCAATCATCAGTATTATTTCGAGTTTTTCCCTGGCGTATTTTCGTGGAAATTAGAATTGAAATGAGTCCTCTCCTCTTTTCCATCGGTAAAATTCTCGTTAAATTATTTATAAAGCAATTAGAAACAGAAGGTTCCTGTTTGTGCCATCGGGGTCAGTTTTGTAAAAGAAATTAGGCACTCTAATTAAACGCAGAAAGACCAACCTCACACTTCTTTCTTGGAGAAATAAAATATGCCATTTCAAGAAAGGGAAAACGTTTATATATATTGCTTATTTTAGCGAAGGACAAATATTGATTTTTAATTTGAATTTTTTTTTACACGATTCCCCTAAACTTAGTCCCATTGTAAATTGCCAAATAAAAATAAAAAAAAAATGTGAAAAAGGACGTAAAGTAAGTTGAGCTTTTTCGATCGAAAACATAAAGTCCCCGCATTTACACTAAAACCATTTGTCTTATCAAAATTTTCCATTGGAAAGTACAAATTGTGTTCGATAAAATACTATGGAAACTCATTTCACCTATATTTCATCTCTAAGCATCGAATGAAACGAGATCTAAAATTGGTTTGCTACAACGGTGATGAATAAAAAAGCAGTGTACGTGCATTTTTGGTTTTCTTCTTTTTTGAGCCCAAATGTCGTTATGGTGATTGCGAACGAAGTTGTACCCAGCGGAAAATGTTCACATTTACTAAATCGATTTTATTTGTTATGCAATCGATTGGCAACCAGATTGAATATACGTTCGAAAAGCAGAGAGCGTCGCAACATATCTCTAAATGATGTGAGGAAACAAACAAACAAAAAACCCAAAGAGTTCAAATTATATTTTAGAAAAAGGATGAAATGAAAACGAAAAAAGGTCTTTGGCTGTTTCTATTCAAAAGCCGTTGTCGCAAATGCTTGTTCCCATTGTGTAAACGTGTCGTTTATTGGTCTCAACATTGGAACTGTTATTATATTTTTACGACACGTTTTCGACATACACATGAACACGAAAAAAAAACAACAAATAAAAAAAAAAAGTAAGAAATAAGCACACTCCGAATTTTTATGTAATAGTAAAAAACTGAAGAAATCTTTCAATTCGAATTGGTGACAAACCTGAACGAAATGTTGTAAAAATTGGCGATAAATGAAAGAAAACGAGCAACAACAAAAAACTAAATCAATAATACGAAAATATCGTATCCAGAGGGAGATGCGAAAACCTATTCAACATCTATTTTCCAATATTTAGGTTTTTCTCACATTCTACAGCTTTTGTGATTTTCTATAAACATGATTTATTGTCAGTCTTATAATTGATTGCACTTTAAAGTATTTCAAGTAACACCATTTCAACAGAGCTAGCTTTTGTGACATCTAAATTATCAATGGACTTGGACACAGGATGTGTGTTCCAGTCCGTGTGAAAGTTCGCAATAAATTGATGGAAAACGACATAATAACAGTTAACGGCATCTTCAAAACCGTATTTGTGGAGACACATGCCGAAGTTACAAAAGCCAAAAGCAGTGGCTATTCAAAAATATTACCGGATTTTGAAAAAGATGTTGACTTCGTTCAGAGACGATGGCATATTTGTTCAATGTATTATGGTTCATGAAAGACCTTCATTATTATTTTTCGTTCTATGGTCCTTGTATTTTGAAGCGTTTCTCAGAATTGGATACCCGTTGGACGTGTACTAAACAACAAACAGGCAATTCAATGACAATTGTTTGTTCGCAAAAAAGTAGTTTTTCAATGAGAATATGATAGCTATTTGAAATGCAATAGTTTGTTCAAAGTTTGCTGCTATATGCATTGTGCAATCTATGTAGCCAAGGGTCAAACGATGTCTTGCAATGCCGAGAGAAATCCCATTGCACAAGTACAAGTGTTCGTACCAACACCATGACACCGATGGCTATTGATGTAGCAACCAATTTTTTATTCTCCCGTTCATTGTGCATTCATCAGAAAATCGAAGGCAAATTGAAACGGATGAAAAGTTCCAATAAAAAAAATGTGGAAAAACTTCGTTTTTCAAGACGAATAACTTGATTCGTTTGATATATACGTTGTGGATATTATTTTTATAGCATGCTATACGTGCTATCGAATCGATTTCTAGTTCAAGTTTCTGTTTGAATGTTTCTTTTTTTTGGTTGCTTTTCGAGATGTCTTAAAGAGATGTTTTTCCTCACTGACGTTACGAACGTGCTCATGGTCTACAGCACAACAATTTTAAATATTTGGTTAGTGCTGTTTCTACAAGGAATGCACTTGTGTACTTATATCCGTTTACTGAATTACCTAATATACATGTTTCATTCAAAGTGTGTACCACTTTATCCAAGTGTGCATCGGATCAACAGTAACTAGATCTGCGTACCGGATCTATCAAATGTTTTGTCCGTAACGGCAATGTGAATTTGCATAACTGCTCGAAATACATACGGTCAATCATCCGCCAGAAGAGTTGTGAGCTTTTTATCGTCTTCTCGCACATGTTGAATGACTTTATATCTGGTTTAAAATTGTCGTATACGGTATCACGAAGGAGAAAAAAGAAGACGCACTTGAAACAGAAGTGGAAATCTCAACGGATTTTGGATCAATGTACTGAATAAAATGTTAAATCAATTCAACATCATCACTCACAACTTAAGTTAATGCAATAAGCATTGATTGAGTGTACTGTACACAACTCGATGCTAAAACTCAAACAGTGAAAATTTAATTTATCTAAAAATCTCGCTCTAAATTGTTTTTCAAAACAACGAGCAAATATTTCATTACACAATTTGATTTTTAAAGTAGTTTTCAAAAAAAAAATCAACAACTTTTTGTGTTTTGCTAAAATTTAATTCAAACAATGTTTGAAGTAGAGAAAAATACCATTTACTTGCACTTTTATATTCACCCCGTCTTGCAATCAACCGCAATGAAATGAAAAATCGTGTGTCATTCATCTTTTTATTAATCGAAAAAGAGAATGTTTGCAAGTTGCGTCCATCACAATTGATTTGCACTTTGTAGAATTGAATGAAACCTCAGTGAAGCAAATAAATAGAAACATTTACGACAACCATTTATCTCTCCTCGATAAAAACAACATGCAAAAGTTCCTCTCACAATAAAAGTTCACACTTCCTGAACATTTTCCCCCAAAAAAATTCATTCTCACATCTAAATATTATATCGTTCTTTTTAGGTGATATAAAGAAAAAGTAACGACAACGATATCGGGAGCGTACGATAACAATTTATGTGGACTTTTGCAAATCGGTAAATGTTTGTTATGCGACTTTGCAGATCATCATTAAATCAATGAAATAACCTTTCTTTTTATATAAAATAGATTTGTTTATTTGTGTTATAAATTTGCGGCACATTACAATGAATAACCTTCTCATTAGATTCCTTTTATTCGCCATATTAACATAGTCGTTATTGCATCGCAAATAAAAATCGGAATACTTTGAATAAAAAAAAAACCTTTTTTTCTCATTTTTGAACCATTTGGATGAATACGTTGAAATTTGTACGTTTTTTTTTTTTGTTTATCTATTGTAAGAATTCATTTTGCATGTGAAAATGGGTTGTTGTGTGCAACGTGCGCATTTTAATATGCAAACCGAAATAAGAAAAAGGTCGATCAAAATTGTTGTATCAACAACCTGCAGCAAGCTAATAATCTAGAATATTGCATTTGCTTTCAAGAGCATCAAATTTACCTTTAAGCATTCCATAGCATAGACCTTAAGTAAGAGAAATATTCTCCAAGTATGCTAAAACAGCGAGATAAATGTCAAGGTAGAATTCGAACACTCATAATAAACAGACAATTCTTGTTCATTCTTGTCGGCAAATATATGCCGAAAAATGTTTTGAAAATTCTTTGGTCTTCAATATGCGAACAATAAAATATGTTTGACCATGATGCAAACATAGACCGGTAATTTTCTTCATGGAAATGTCTTTTTAATAGCTATTCCAAGTGCGTCAATAAAATAATCATTCATAAACGGGGAGCATAAGAGACGTTCGCTGTACGAGCTTCTAATTCTTCTACGTTTAAACATAAATCTAATTTTAATGTCATGCGATGGCGGTTTTTAGCATCCATTAGAAATAAATGTCATATTCAATTCACTTTATCGCAGAATGTTCGTTGTCTGTCATTCAATTTTCGCTTCACTCAATCTTTTTTTGCTTGTCTTTTTTTTAATTGTAAAACCGAAACTTGACGACAACGCTCGCACAAATTGTTATCCACATTTTTAATTAGATGGAAAGCCTATTATGTGGCAATCAAATTAGAAGTAAATGAGAGATCGAGCGAGAGAGAGAGAGAAAGGTTGTATAAGTGATGTGTTGAGGAAAGCAACGAAGAATTATGTGCTAAAGTAAACCGAGTGAAAACAATGAATGCCATCGTAAAGGCATTCATGCATGTATGTTGTTCAATGTTGGAATTTTGTATGGAAGCTCGTGTGATATGTGCCCATTATCGGAAGCGGAGCGTAAGAAATGCTTCTTACCAATATATATACAAATTGGCATCATTTCGTCAGTGCTTTGTGTTCGAATCATTGTTTTCAGTGAAACTTTCTTAGCTGCGCTGTTTGCAAGCAACTAAAATAGCAGCGGTCGGAACAAAGGCACTCGCAAAAACTTTGCGCAAAGTTTTTCAATTTAATTAAAGGTACTTTAATGTCACATAATCCGATTATACAGAAAAATGTGTGTTTTATATACCTAATCACAAATGAGAAATTCATTTAGTTAAATTGTGACTGAGGAAAAAAAGCAGATCGAGAACTTAAAATTGTGTGGCCGATTAAAAAACAAAGCAGTTTTGTACGAAGAGAAAAATGTGCACAACTATATAATTTTTGAACGAGTTTAAATGCAAATCATAAAAGAAAAAAACACGAAAAGAGCAAATATTCATTTGGTGACGCTTTGACGCTGGTACCGACACTACGGAAAACAATGTAAGATCAGCACATTTGCTGACGATGGGATAAGTTAACATTTCGTCGTAAATTTCGTCTATTGTGCACTGTCTCTAAAGTGAATTACGTAATGAAGTGAGTGAAATGTAATCAACTTTATTTTAAAACCATGTTGATTAAAGCTGAAGAAAAAATATGAAGATTTGCATGCCCTCAGTATTTCGACCCGTGTGAAACATACCTCCCACTCATACGAAGTTTACTTCTAGAATATGCTCGTAATTTCAAATTGTGAGAGGACTTAGAATTCAATACATGTTCAACAACGCTAGAAAACAGGAAGGAATAGAAATATCGGTATTGGCATAAATGTAAAAAATGTGGCATCAGCATAACAAGCGAACTACTTGCTAAATGGGTCGAGGTGAAAATAGAGCATAATATGAAGAATATGGTATATAATACATAACAATGGAAACAAATGCGATGAAACTGCAATGACAAATTAAAATGTCCTGACGCACACAAAAAACAATATTGCGGCCAATGTGAGGAAACATTTGAATAAAATTCAAGTGCTTCGTTGAAACGACGACCAAAGAAGATATGTATATGTATGTGTTAACAAATATGCCACAGAATATGCATGAGTATGTTTGTGTGTGGTATATGTTTGTGTTGATGCAGAGACACGTCAAACATTCTTTCAAAAGTAATTTTCTGCATGGTGTCTGTTCAGTTTTTGTGTAAAAAAAAACCGATTTACAATTCGAAATGTTTATGTTATGCCGGGTGCTGTTTAATAAATGGTTCATTCAAGCAAAATTGTACAAATTGCTTGTCGTTGATGGAAATTTTTCCTGTCAACAAACATTCCGAAATTAAAAAATTTTCCCTCATTCTGAAATGTACATTGCTGAAAGGTGGCGGTGGTGGTGATGCTATTTCCTGTGTTTTCGGTCTTTATTCCTTATGTTCGTGCTGTTCTCATTAACAATCACAAATTTGAACATACAAGAAGACGAGAAAAAAATAATAATAATGCGAATATAACATAAAACCAACAATAAACCTCAAGTATATATGCTATATCAAGCCAAAGTTGAATGCAGCTGCTTACAAAATGTTCCATTGTTTTTGTTTGGCTGCTGTTGACTTTTCACTCTGTTATTTTGTTTTTCTCCAGATGATTTTCTTGTCATAACATTGTTTATCTTTTCCGACCATGCATTCAATTTGCGCTTTTTTGAAATGTTTTCAGATGGATCCTATAACTGACACACAGTTGACGGCAACAAACACATTAACATCGTGTCCAACAGCGACAATAATGAGCGGTAACAGTAGCGGTGGCAGCAGTACGAGCACTCATCACCATCATCATCAACAGCAGCAACAATACAATGCCCATGGTCAACCAACGACGATTTTAAGTCCGAAAACTGAAACAGCACTATCACCGGCCGGCGAAGCGCAAACCACCACCACCGGTTCAATGGCTACATCGAAGGAAGACGAAGAGGATTCAAGTAAAGACGATTCATCTCATTGCAAGAGCCCAGGTCAACGGTATGTTAATCTTTGTTTATTATTTTTATCCGCATTTGCGTCGGAGTAATATACGATATTTTTTTTAAATTAAAAAAAAAAACAAATCGAATAAACAAAATAAAAGCGAACATTTATTCACCATTTTACCACCGCTTAATCGCCATATTGTTCATGTTGCTAGGATCTTGCATTCGTTCCCGTTTTATTATCATTGCTTATCCATGCGTTTTTATTCCACTCAAAAATGATAATTGCATTCATCTTTTTGTTGACCATACACGCACAAACTTTATAAAATATGATTTCGTTTCGTTTCGCAACGCAGATGAGCGAAATGAAGGGATATTGTGTTTGTTTGAACTTGTTTTGAGTGTTCTATGCAACTGAGATGAAGTGCAATTATCATATTACGCAGCCATTCGCCAAGTGGATGAATTTTCTTCGTTTTCGATCCAATTCGATCAATTTTATATTAAAAATTTAATTTCATCTGCTTTATTTCTTAAGTTTTGTTGATTTTGCATTTTGAATGCAGTGCTTTTGCTTTGATTTTTTCTACTCCTAGACACGCGCATTCCAATGACAATAATGTTATGATGCCCACAATTGAAAAGCTTTTGTATTCTTTTAAGTTTCGTTTTGTTTTTTGTTCAAATGAGGAACTCTTATGAACCAAAAAAAATGTAAATAAAACTCAAGCAAACATTTGTACAGACACATAAACACACCCCATCATATTATATTCACTCATTCGCAAATAGACAATTTACGTATCGACGCTAAATTATTTTTATTTTCTTAAAAACGCTTGTAGACATTGTAGGTGAAATGAACTTTCATGTTTGATTACGTATTGAATGAAAGCATAACGCAAGCCACTTTACTCTATGCATCTATATAATTAATGAAAGCAATAGATTTCTTTTCGACATTTTTATCGAACGAACGTTTTACTACTGAATGATTAAATTTTTTCGTAAAGCATTAAATCGGCACTAGCTGTTGATATCGTTATCAAATTGCAAACTAATTGATGATCACCAGATGCACGCCTGCCGAAATTCATTCAATCCATTGTCATGATTAAAAGCTAAAGTGCATCAATTTTGGAGACGTGAAACTAACCATTTCAGAATATCAAAACTTTTGTATATACCTGTATATAATTTTAGTACTAATTTAGTGCTTTTCATGTAGTGAATCCGAAATAACTTATCAAGTACAGCATTATTTCACGTTCAAGTATACTCCAAATAATCTCTGCTATTCGATAATTGTTTATTCGGAAATAGAGGAGATGATGATACGAAAGGGAAAATATTTTGATGTAGGGTTAAACTGGGCAAAGTGAGATAAGCCCCGAATTTTGCTAATGCCATTATTATACTTGTAAGCCTATTCGGTTCATTTAAACATTACACTGTTGTTAATGTCACTTGGGCAGCCGTAAATTGGTTTTTCCTTGTCACAGGTAAGTACAGATGAAAACCGGTGTAATAATTCTGATTAAAACTAAATTGAAATACGTATGGAAACCTGGTATATATTAGTTTTAGGGATGCCCATATTGGATTTGAGACTTGAAGTACTTGTGGTACAAAATAGCACTGAATTATTGAAGAAATTGTATATTTTAAGAAAATTAAGTGAAGAAAAAGGGAAAATAAGGCAATGACAAAGATTTTATTTTCGATCATTTTTATGACAATGGCATTGTTTACATTGTTTCAATGTATATTTCCTATTTCTTGACCGGATCTTTTCTCTCCTTATTATTGACATATTTTTTTTACGTAAATTGATTGGGTTTTCTTGGACTTCGCAGATTCTACCAGATCTTAAACAGCAAAATACCTGTAGAAATTGTAAGGAACAAATGAATAAATTCAGATGAGGGCACTCATTTCTAGTCTTACACCGAAGATGGATTCAAATATATTAAATCTGTTACTGAAGAATAATTGCCTTTTCAGCCCACTCTTAATGAATAATTATATTATTATCAATTTAAATGCTATTTAAATGAATAAGAATATTAAAATTGTTGCCGAGAGAATTTGTGAAGGCTGGATCAAAAGCCGCGCGCGGAATTTTGAATCGAAATGGCGAATAAGCCATACTAATTGACAGAATTACGCACAAAAGCTCATGACTACGAAATGCATTACTGTACAAGTTCCAATTTATTTTAGTTGAATTCACGAGAAACAACCAAATTAGAATTTCCTATCCATTAAAAGTACTCGAAATTAAATCTGTATTTTATCGAGAGCAAAAACACAGAGATAGATATAAAAGCTGACAACTTAAAATGGAGCTACCTAATTATTGAATAGTTCTCATTAAAGCAGATGATAGGGATAATTGTGAGATCATCTTATATAATAATTGAAATTAATTTTAACACACTCTCGAGTGAATAGCAATTCAATTACAATATGATTGCCAGTAATTTCATTGCTATTTTGTACACATGTGCAACACTAAAGTATTACGATGAAATTGATACAGTAAACTATGAAATAGCATTTGCATCATTGATGAATGTGCACGTTCTTCCAAATAGGACCATATCTTTCTCATCCAATATTAGGTTACTGAAAGTTATACTCCTTAAGGTGTCTCATCTTATTTGTTGCGATTTTTCTTATTTGATTCGTTCAGAGGTTTCTATTCTCTGCATTTTGTACAAGATAAGAGAAAGTTAAAGGCTGTACAGTCAGAAAAACATATTCAAAATTCAATTCGGGTAGATTTTTTTATTACTTAGGTTCTTTTAGCTGAAAAAAGCAAGGATTTAATTTCCTCGAAACGTTTTGATTTTATACAGACATACTACAGTTTGCATACAAATGTTGATTTTTTTACATACACACATTACTAAACCCTGTCACGTACAAATGTGAGTACTTTGGACTCGTTCATATATGAAAATGAATAATGTAAACACGTGAATCTGAACATGTACAGACACGGTAATTCTAAATCAACGTCAATTTGGTGAATTATTTGTTGTTGACCCAACACGAAGAAAGTGTTTGTTGGTGTACGTGTCATTTCATGTTTGAATAAATTTTTCGTGCGAATTGTGCTAACATTTCAATTATCATGGTAAAACAATCTATTTTGAAATATGAGAATACAAATGAATACAACTGCATTAAAAATGTCTCGGACACCATTAGATTAAGTTTGAATATTACGCTGCCGTTTCCATAAAATAGTTCCGATTTAAGCGATTTTAATGGCAAATAATGTTCTGTTGTTTATAATACCACACATTTTCGATTGAATCATTAGCCGTTCTAAGCGAAATTTAATTCAAATTTCACATCGAATCAACATTTCTAATAACAGGCATATCGAATGTGCTTTTTAACAAATTGAAATTTAATTGAAACTATGCTGTTGTCAACAATCAGTATCTATACCACATAATTACAGCTACCCCGAATGCCGCTTGTGCTTTTGATTCCACGTCAATTTCATGGTAGACTATTCGACAACAAAAATCGATAAACACAAATTATGTGTGGACTCGGAAACTGTGATTTCCCAACCGGTTATAGTTAGCTAGTTGACACTGCAGAAAACATCGTTCACAATCGAAATTAAACATTATCCCATTTATTAAGTAAATGCTTTCATTTTATTTGCTGTTTCATTGAATCGAAAGCAGTTATCAAAATGATGCAGCAACTCCAATTATTTTTTATTGATATTTTATATTCGAATCACGAATATTTGAGTTAGTGTGCTGTATTGGAACGGTATACAAAAATGTTATTAGTCACAAAGCGGAAATACACTAATTATTTGGCGATTGGGATAAGCAAAAATTGAATCGACACAAAAACACATTGCAGCTTCATTTTGTTGAATTTGTTTTTGAAATGAAAGAGTTTGTTAATCTCAACGATTCCTGAATGTTGGTTGGTGTTATCAGCGTTAATTCGACATGACGAATTTCAGTTTTTTTCATCACTATGGTCCGTCCACATCGTTTGCATCCCAATCAAGTGGAATCTCAAGTCTCGGAATCATTTTGGAAAATACGGCAATCGAAAATCATTTACAACATCGCCAGCGCAGTGAAAGTTTGAAAAATCGCAGCGATTACGAACAATTAGATGGTGATTATGACGATGATATTAACGGCAGTAGCAGTTGTAGCAGCGGTAAAAATGCTGACAATACAAACAAAAATGGAGCGCCAAAAGGTTCACGGGGATGGCGAAATGTACGAGCCGTCATGGCATACTATTATACATTGCGAAAAATCAAGAGGAACGGTGCTCTCTATTATAATATTTATAGTCTAATTTTACTCTATCTAACTAAACCTTCGTTCATCTTCATTTTCGATGGAATAGTGTTTGTTCATTCATTTTGTTTCTTTTATATTATTTTTATATCGTAATCTTCTCACAGAGCGATTATGTCCATGTACTTCAATCTCTCTCTCTCTTTCTCTTTTTTATAAATGTGTTATTAATATATAAAATTCAGATATCATACTTAAGCGAAACACCGAATTCTGACATTTCTTGATCCTAATCGTGTATTTTTGGCTAATCGTATTACTTGCCCACCGTATGTGTGTTCAATCTTATTCATAAAAAGAAGTGTGTTTGTTCTGTTGCCATAGGCTGAAGAGAGATTATTTTAAGCGAAAGAAGAAAAAAATCAATTTATCAATCAATTTTTTTTCGCTTCTTCTTCATTGGTTGAGTACCGAACGCGCAACCATTTAAGAAGTTGTGAGGGGAAAATGTTGAGCACGGAATTGCAGGTGGTGCATGTCTAGATGACCAGTTTTGCGGATTAGAATAGATTATACGATGACTTTAGGTTTAAATGTTGATACACCGCATTTTCTAAGCTCAAAATGTTTCCCTTCGATTTTGCCCGAGCTTAAAATAACCAAATAAAACATAGTAATCGTCTTCAAAAAGCTACATCATGTGCACAGCATTAAGATATTAAGAGCAGTTGACATTTATGCTAATTTTTAAATG